AAAATTGCACATAACTAAAGATGACATGTTTTTATATTCAGCTTTTTTTTAGGTTCCAGAAAACACCAAAACCAAAATTTATAACTCTAAACAAGTCCATCACCCACCTTTGTGGTGTCTGTTGACCAACAATGGCATTTGCAGTTTCTCTCAAATAAACTTCCCAGTCCATTTCAGGAATGTCTTGATCAGCAGTAAAAGGATACCTACATAATAAAAATTTTAAAAAATTATTATCAGAGCAAATCGTCACCTATTCTAACATGGCCCTAGAAGTAAGGTCATGTCTGACAGCATAATTTACATTAATTTTTGTAGTGACTTACTGTTGTACTCTGCAGCACTCACACATAAGTAGTGCTTTCCGAAGATTCCTGCCAGATTTCTCTGCAATCCTTTGAGCCAGTTCCTGAGGAAGAGTCAAGCCTTCTTTCTTACACACACTGGACAAGACATGGCAGATCTAGATGGAAAACAGATATCAGGGAGTACAACACTTAAGAAACCGCTCAGCAACTACAGATTCTCCTGTCAGAAAGATCTCTGGACCCGAGATGGACCAGTCTTTCATAAGACATGCTCAACAAGTCACCCACCAACCATAAAGAAAAGCTAGGTCACTATGTGAAAGTAAAATATCTTGTAAGTCCACAGCAAGAACTTATCTAGCAGGAATTTTAACATAATGTATTTTTGCTTCTATTTTAACATACATCTTCAATGCTGGGAGCAGGCACTCGTATAGCCAGGCATCTGCTTTGAATAGGTCCTATAATTTTTGACACGGAGTTGCAGCACAGGATCAACCTGCAGGTCGCCATGTACTTCTCCATTGTTCTTCGCAAAGCATGCTGAGCATCTTTAGTGAGTTTGTCAACTTCTGTTAGCAGCACCACTGAAAAAAAAAGGATTAAAAATAGTGGGGTTTTGTATTAATATAAAATCTTTCTAAGAAAACAAATACTTTTGACACACAAGCGATAATACCAGAATAAATGATAATATGCAGAAGAAGGCAGCATGGTTACACAGGCAGGAAAATAAAGATTAAGATAAGTTGTGTGCCTTTTTAACTGTACAATCTGCTCCTTCACACACTATATTCATGTCCTGGAATGTCAATTTCTTCAGAGCACCGCCTGCAATGATTCAGTGCCAAGAAATAATCCAGATAGGTGTAGCAGCTTTCACCCTGATAACTAGTACAGTAAGTTCTTTACAGGAGTTTTGGAGTAAGACATGGAGCAGAAGTTATGGCATAAGGATATATCAAAAAGTAAAATTTCTTGAAAACTCTCCTCAATACATTTTATATCTAAAAGCCAATGTCTTAGCCTGACAAAGGAATAGTAAAAAGCTGCCTTATTATTGTAGCTGCAGCACCTTTCCATGGTCTTTTAAAGAAAAAAAAAGCAATGTATTTAAAAAATGCTTCACAACAATCCGGACACCTAATATGAAGCAGCCAACCTAACCAGACACCCTCTGCAGGTTCCTCCACAGGCAACTGATAGATGGCTCACTTCACTACTCTGAGTTGTCCAGAGCCTGGAGGAAAAAGTCATCCCAGTATTCTTCTTCCAATTCTGGTTATACACACAGCCTAGCAATATCATACAGCTTTCAAGATACTTCGAGGTGCATGATACAACTGCAGCTGTAAGGATATATACATCAATAACTGGTGGAGACAATCAGGGTCTAGAAGCTCAGGTAAAACAGTACTTTCTGGGAACACCAGGACACAGAACAGAAGGAAAATGCAACAAAGTACTAAATCCATGAACACTTTCGCTAATTCCTCCTCTACTATCTATAAAGATTTCCTCTCTCCTAAAATCCCATTATATAGTTCTGATTTTACTTTCAAGTTAGTCATGGGGAGGAAAAATAAGCCAATTATAGCAACATGTGTCTTGGAAAATTCAATGAAAGTCTCCTTCATTTTCTTACCCAGTGTCCCTCTGTACACTATGGATAAAAATCTTCTAAATGGGAATAGGTTTGTTTGTACCTGCATAATGCACAAAGGTACACACATGAAACAACGGGATCAAATTTCTGAAAAAAATCCCAAGTTTAAAAAGCCCTTGACTGGTTTTAACTGTTCTACTCACCTTTAAAATCTCGCTGAGTGCTTGTCTCAAGCTGTTGGGACTGTGCTACTGTCTTCAAGAGTTCCTGAATTACTACACGGTCATTGTTTCCGGCATCACTGTAACAGGAGTTTGAATAAATCATGTTTTAAAACAACTTTGTATTCCATATAAAATACATCCTCCTAAGCAACCTCCTGGTAAACTGATTTAACAAGAAAATTCAGAAACTGTCGAGGTTAGAATTAAGCTCAACATACATACTTTGTTGAATGTTACCTTCCCAGTAATAAAAACAACCCAAAGCTTTTGTGGGCACAGCTGGATTATTAGCACTCTATTGAAGAATAGTGAAACCATTGTCAAATTAGCTCATAAAAATGGAACTCATTCTTCTGGGATAAGAAATCCAAACTTTTGTTAGCTACAACCTGGACAAAGACAGATAATGTGAACACTCTTACTCATTATGGAATGAACAATTAAGTCTAACCACATAACAGGATGCCTGACCCAACAGACTCAAAAGCAGGGTTTTTTTCCCCCCACTAAAAACTAGATGCCATGCCACAAACAACCTAAATGCTTAATGCACACCTCAATGGCAGACACACTGAAGTAACGAGTTACCAGTAAAATACTGACACTAAGATGCTATTACAGCATTAGGTTTGCTTTTTTTTCTCTAAAAAGGCAGGAAAACATGGGGAAATTCTAGACTTCCTCCTGCCCCTTCTCTTCACTGTCCACTACAGTAGCATTGCACAGCTTTCTCAGTCCCCATGTTATAGTAGCTCAGCTAGTTTGACTCAGATTTGACAATCAGAGGGGACTACTGACTTGTAAGGTGAATTACCAAAAAAGCTAATAAAAAGGGGAAGAAAACACTGCCTATTTAGCATCCCAGACAATTGCCTTCAGAGAAGCAGCAGTAGCTCTGCTATATTTCACTGGCAAGGAAATGAAAAGACATTTGTCTGCGCTGTTCTCTTCACCACTCGACCAGAACTTCCCCTTTATTGCCAAGGAGAAGGCAGCAGAACAGAAAGAAGCATATTAGCTCAACAATTCACAAACTGCTCAATGGGCTACGCTGACTTGGACTGCAGAGCTCTGTCCTTCAGCAAGGCAGCAAATCTTTGCTTTTGTATTTGTGCTGTAATCAAAACGAAACAAGCCTTCTACTACAGTTCTACTTATGAGCTATGCCAGTTAGAAATGGGAAGTGATTAAAATAGTGTCCTAACACTTAAGTTATTTTCTGTAGCAACAGAGAACTCAGAGATATAATTTCATGGCAAAAGATTATCCTTGGTATTATGTGACCACATCAAACATTCTAGGAAAACAATGAACAAAGGCAGTTACCAGACAAGCATTTGATTTTTATTGCTCCTTATTCTTTACGGACGCACTAACTCAGCAGAACCTATTTTAAAGCATCTACCCAAGCTAGTCAAGTGACCAGAAGAAAACACTTTGGAATTCAGACAATATTCTCCTTTTGAAGGAAGGAGAACATTTCTGTTAAATGTCACATTTCTATCTCATTTTAACTAAATTTAAGTTTTATAACACAGTCAGTATCCGCATCATCCTTCCCAGAAATCCATTTCCTTTCCCTGTTAGCCATTTATCATTCCCTGTTACTCAAGATGCACAACATGATTTCACTGTATTATAACTCAATCAAACTTCAAAGGCTATAGTACAGCACAGGCAGGTTTACTGTCTGGTTAAACAAAAACATGGCAATTACTTGCTACTTAAAGCCTATGAATCAATATATTAATTCTTAATCAAAACTCAGCACTACTATTATGTACAATAGCCACTACACTAATTCTACACTTTCAGGATTTTTATACCTAAAGTAAAATACAATTATTTTATATGAGATGAGCTTAGTTGGTTAGAGCATGGTGTTAATAACACCAGCGTTGTGGGTTCAATCCCCGTATGGGCCATTCATTTAAGAATTGGACTTGATGGTCCCTCGGGTCCCTTTCAATTCAGAATATTCTGTGAAATCTGTTTCGAGCTCTAAGTACTCTATGCAGTGTAACAGAGGAAGAATTATTAGTATCAGCTTATCAGAGCAGAAGACTGAATGGTGACACATTTTATACCACCAAAATGACATATTCAGTTAACTACCAATAAAACTCTCACCTTTTATTGGTAATTAACTGTTAATTATTTGTGTCTGTATTAGAACACCAGCAGACATTCACTAATCAATACAGAGATTAGCTGCAGAATAAGATTTTTAAGGGGATCTGGTACACGAGAATAGCTTCTAAAATGCAAAGCAGCATGGGCAAAGGTTTAGCAGTAAGCACAAAATTACTTCAGGATACTCATTGTCTTATAATTGCAACTCAGACAACAAAGCCAACATAACCAATACCTCCTAGTGCACAATGATATTCACTCTTATATGATTTAAAGCAATGTTACAGGTTTCAGGCAAATACAAGTGTTTACTTTGGATCAGTGAACTATCACAATTTCACACTGCCAAAGAAGATGTACAGTACCACATCATACCTTCTGGTGTTTAAATCAACATCTGAGCTCACTCAAGACAGGATTCACAGTATTTTGTGGTGGTATTCTTTCTTGTACTTTAAAATGCGTTATTTGAATAGTTACTGGGCAAACCTTGCTTACTTTCAAATTCTTTTAGTTTTGTACTTGTGAGAGAACTAACAATATAGAGGTGTTAGTTCCAATAAAAAATCTGAATATCAACTGAAATGGTTAAGTCTACGAATCCAGAATTGTTTCCGTTACCCAGTCCTAAACAACAGCATGCTTACGTGGTTAGTTAAGCAGAACATTAGTGTCTTTAGTATGCAGCAATCCCAATTTCTGTTCAGAGTTGTTCAATTAAAAATCCTCTCTCTGTTCTCATTTGCAGACCAAACCCATAAACCATTACCAAATTTGCTCAGGCAACAAATTGGGCAATCAGTCCCTCATGTCCAGGCTGAAATCACCTACAACATGACCATTAGCTTATCTTGGAAGTGGGGCATTTTTACTGTACACTTACCTTGGGTTAACTTCAAGGTGATAATTACTTGCAATGGTGCTAATTTCAATTTTCTTCTTAGAAGGTGCCTATATAGAAAGTAAGTGTTAATGTTTAGGAAGTGTTCTAAAAATCCATCTTATAAACTACAACAGCCAAACCAAGAGCCTCAGAGATCAAAGAACTGCTGAGACACTGGACTTGCGTATCTCCTATGCCTCCAACCCCACCTCCAAAAGAAAAAAGGAGAACTGACACATCATCCAGCTGTGAAATAACAACGATTATTATAGCAACACCTGCTATGTATTACTGCATACTCCAGTTACTCCAGAGTCCTGTAAAAGAAGGCTTATTACTGGAATCAGCTATTCAAAATAAGTGACACTTTGCCCACTCAAAGAAAAGTTTTGTAGGCAAAACTACTGGACAGGCCCGAAGAGGTTGTTAACTTCTTCCGTCAAAGAATTTCAAGTCTCTGCTTTGAAGAAAACATTACTATTTATAGCACCACTGAATTTAGGTCTGAACAGTTAAATATATTCCATATTTATTTCATCCAGTTTAAATATATTATTTATTCCACCACTGAGAATTAAAAAGAAAACATTAAATAACCTATATTTTTATGAAGCCCGATAGCCCCTTGCTGGTTAAGTCTTCTACAGCAAGGATTTTTAATAGGGAATATATAAACGCCTAAGACCAGGGCAGATAAAATTTAAATTGATTTTTTTTTGGCTGAAATTGCCACTATGAGAACAAGAAAACAAGGTAAAATTTGAATATATGCAAAAAGCAGCGCTAAGGATTAATAACCCTTATTCTACAGACAAACCAAATTTCATTCAGAATTAGTCTGTCATGACAGATGATACTGTTCAAACCAACCTCTAAACAACAAATTAAAATCCCCACCCCAAACAAAACAACACATAAGAACAGCCAACCAGGCACAGAAAACAGAGAACCCCACATCCTGAAGACCTAGAGAACAAGAACATTTGGAAAACTATTTGTTCAAATAACCAAACTAGTATAATTAATTACATAAAAAAGTCTGAATATACTGGGGAGGGGGGGAATTAGTTTTAAAACTCATAAAAATTTAAAGGCCTTACAACAGAAACCTATCAGTATATCCATGTTACTTCACAGCAGATGGGAGACTTGTTTTTTTTTTTTTTTTTACCGTTATACTCTGATGCTCAATCCTCAGTTTCTCCACTCCTGCACCATACAATTCCCTTAACAAGCACATTATTCTCGTCTTTTTTCCAGCTCCTGATGGTCCATACACCAACAGATGAGGAAAGTCGCCACATTGAACCTGAACAAAAAGCAACAAGATTAGTTAGTTAAAACAGTGTTTTCTTTATAAGAGAGTATGCACCCTTCCATTCTCACCCAAGTTTAAGTTAAATAACTTTTCCAGCTCCATGATAACATAGTACCTAGAATTAAAACTGCTGAATCCCTTTCCTGCAGCAACATTTCCTATAGAACATATTTTTCTGAAAGCCATGTGCAACTTATTTAACTTCAAACACTCCATCCCTCAACAAATACCCCGAACAAACCAACAAACAACAAAATCCTCAAAAAACCCACCCCAGCATTTACATGCTTTCCAGGGTTACTAGAATGACAGCTGCAATAAACACACGGTTAAAAGGCTTAAAAGAAAGATTAAAACAGACACAGAGAGAAAGAGTGAGAGAAAATAACTTGGGAGTTTCACTTGCAAGCTTTGAATATAGGCAAAGGAGTAACAGGTAGCCTGTGTTTAAATGGAAGGGACCCCCAGCGGTCCATCTGCTCCAACCCCCCTGCTCAGGCAGGGCCATCCCAGAGCACATGGCATAGGACTGTGTCCAGACGATTGCTGGATTATCTCCCGTGAGGGAGGCTCCATAACCTCTCCGCACAACCTGTTCCAATGCGCGGTCCCCCGCACAGCAAAGAAGCTCCCTCCCATACTGAGGCGGAATCCCAACCCCCGAGGCACCGTTCCTGCGGGGAGGAAAGCACCCGGAGGCCACAGGGCCGCGGCGGCCTCGGGGGGAGGCCGTGCGTGCCGCACTGACCAGGTTGCGGAGCCGCGCCGCCTGCTCGCGGTGGAAGTCGAGGCGGGCGAGAGCGCCGGGCCGGTGCTTGTCGGCCCACAGGCTCATGGCGCCGCAAAGCCCGCGCCGCGGTGGCAGCAGGCGCGCCCGATACGGCGGCTGCCGAGGGACAAACTACGGCGGCCCCGCCCCCGCGGCTCCCTCAGCCCGGCCCAGGGCAGGGTGGATAGTTCCAGGGGCCCCGGTCGGTGCCTGCCGGGAGTGGGTTCCCCCTTCCCGAGTGACAGAGCCAGCAGGCGGCACTGCGCTCTGCGAGGGCTTTTCCGAAACAGCCCCATAGCAGTCACTGCGAAGGACATTAACTCCATAGACATTATCCCTACCCCCGCTCTACCCCCAGAAACACCGCTCAGGCTCCCCGCCGGGGGACGGAGCCCTCCGAGCTCCGTTCGAAATCAGTTCTCTCCAGGGTCGTTTCGCAGAATCACGGAAGCAGTTTAAGTTGGGAAAGACCTCTGGGACAGATCATCGAGTCTAACCTGTGACCAAACACCGCCACGTCAACTGGTCCATGGCACTGAGTGCCACATCCTGTCTTTCCTTAAACACCTCCAGGGATGGTGAATCCACCATCCCCCTGGGCAGCCCGTTCCAATGTCTCATCACTCTTTCTGTGAAGAAATTGTTCCTCATGTCCAACCTAAGCATCCCTTGGCGCAGCTTAAGGCTATAAAGAGAGAGAGCTTATAATTAGACTGTAATTCGGAATATGCATTCCCCAAAACCCCACAACGCCTAAAAAAGCTTGTGTTTCTTTCTTGTTAGTTGGTGAACACATTGCTGTTATCTTATTAATAATGTCCATTACAATCTGACGACATCCATCTTGCCATTTGATTCACAAAAACTGGATGTCCTGCGCTGGCCCCTTTACCTTACTTTGTTTTATGGCAAAAAAGCAGCTTTCAGAAGGATTCAGATTATTTGCTTCCATTGCTTGAAAACTTCCACCATGTTGCCCCACACAATTATATCACCAATATGTTGCAGGTGTTCCAGAGCTTCACCCTATTCTAGTGCAGTCTGAATCACTCCATGGCAGATAGTAGCACTGTGTTTCCACCCTTGGGGCAGTCAGTTCTGTGGGCAGTCAATTCTGTGTCTGATCCTTCGTCTCAGTGTTACCCTGAGTTTGCTGTCTCATTATGAATCAGTCAGTTGCCCACTGTTTATGTAGTGCACAGAGAATTTGCAAGCTCCATCTATGTGTGGGGCTTATATGCAGAATAAGAATATGCATATAAGCCACACACATAGATGGAGCTTGCATAGAATTACATAAAGCATGTGTATGTAACAGAAAAACTCTCATTTTGTTCCTTTGTGTAGTTTCCCTAATAAATTAAGCATCATGCACAAGTGATATTAGTTGAAAGCAGAATTCCTTGAAGTGATGAAATATAGATATACACATGAATAGTCTGTAAAGTGTCTAATTTTTTTATGATTTCTGTGAAAAAAATTATAGTGAGATGAAACGTTCATGTTATGTTCATGCTTTACCAGCTCTGTGTGCACATTTATTCACACAGTCAGAATGCATAAGGCAGTTAATGGCTTCACTAACCGAGACATTTAAGTTACTCATAAAGATCACAAAAACCTACTGGGGGCACTAGGTAGTAGAACACTTCCATTGATACCATATTACCTGTTTATCTGAAATAGTTACATTACTTACTCTCATAGACACTTATTAATCAGTTTTATTTGCATATTGCCATGAATTAGCAAATTCTACAACTACCTGAAAGGAGGTTGTAGGCAGGTGGAAGTCAGGCAACTAGTGACAGGACAACAGGCTGAAGTCTTAAGCTGTGCAAGAGGAGGTTTAGGTTAGACATTAGGAGAAAATTCTTTACATAAAGTGTCATTAGATATTGGAATGGGCTGCCCAGGGATGTGGTGGAGTCCTTGTCCCTGGATATGTTTAAGGAAAGACTGGATGTGGCACTCAGTGCCATGGTCTAGTTGACGTGGTATTGTGTAGTAAATTGTACCCAGTGATCTCATAGGTCTTTTCCAATCTGATTGATTCTGTGATTCTCCTGTTACTGCTTTGTCAGCACTGTCCTGGTACATGACTGAGTCTGTGAAAGCTGCAGCAGCAGTAACCTGCCCAGGGCTTGCCTTCATATCCTTTGTTATACTCAGCACCACAGAGTGGCCTGTTCCTCTGCCATTTTTTACATTCACATTTTGTGGGTCTACAGTGTTTCTCATGTGTGCCTGTTCTCTCTGCTCCTCACCTGCATTCTTCAAAGTAATCTCTGAATTTGACCATTAATTTCCTTGGTATCCTCTTTGGTTAGCTGTATTTATTACTTACCTTTTTTATGCTTTTTCAAATCCTTAGCTCATTTGACTGACTTTTTAATAAATTCTGAATGATATGATGTTCTTCTTGTGTCTGTCAATGTCATGCTTAACTTAATTGCAACTTCTTGATAACTCTTTATAACCTACACAATTTTTCCAGCCTCCAGAGAGTTTTTGCTAACACATGCCAGCTTCCAGCAAGAGCTCTGACAGGTACTCCAGGCTTTTAAAGTATCAGTGAAAACAAATCTTTTTTGGATGAGGTCAGACTTCAGCAAGCATGATTCAGTCCAGAAGGCTTTTAGATACTTTCAGCTCCCAAAGAGATCAAGGAGTGAAGACATGTAGCATCTCTGAAATGCCCTAGTCTCTTTTTATTGTTAGCTCTATTTATTATTAAAAACTTCCACAGGATTTCTTCTTATCCTGAGAAGAAAACCTTGGAAACTGTGCCCTACTTCAGCAATACATTTAAGCATGGGCTTACGCTTATGTTTTCAGTAATTTCTTAATATAGAAAGTAATTAGGCAGATGAACAAAATTAATTTGTTAAGTAAAAATTTTATCATTTTAAAACCTGGGCCAGCTTGAAGCATTGCGGTTATGGTACTTTATATCTGATTAAAATGAGCTATAATGCTTTGATTTTCTGCTTCATTATTTTTCTAACTTTACTATAAATGTGAACAAAAATAACTAAATATCTAAAATGGAATGGTTTAGCCAAGTATTTAGCATGAATAATACAAGACACTCTGGCAATTTCAGCTGCAGTCACAATTCACTCAAATACAAAGACTGTTAGAATATGTCTTCACTCATTTTGTTCAGTCCAGCAGAAAGGTCAAAAGGTAAAACGACTTCTCTGCATGAATAAGCTAGACAATGTATCTGAAAATAGAGATTTTAACTACAAATGGCATTTTAAGCCTCTTACTACCAGCAGGCATGTTATTAGAAAGTGACTCAATGTCAGGCCCTATAAGAGAAACTCCATCTTGTACCCAGATTGAAGCAAAACTGTAAGACCTGGGTCCTGTTCTTATATATGTATATAAAAAGTAGTTTTTAACCAGCTTTAAACCAGTTATTGAAACAGTGCTAGAACAAAATAGAGCATTCTTATAATGACCTCCTAAATATCTTTACAGCATGATTGGTGCTGGCAATCAGAGTAGCCATTAACAAGTCCAAGTACTATTTTACTGTACAACTTGTGTTTTCCAGACAGAAGATTGTTTGCCTTCCTTTGATCCTTCAGGCTGTTCTGTTTGGCTTCCTTTGATCCTTCAGGCTGTTTAGCTGACTCAGAAAAATTTTTCTCTTCAGTTTCAAATATTTCAGCAGATCATTGCCACTCTGTTGGCTGTCAGTCCAGGTTATGTCACCCTGTCCCCATCAGAGCACCTATATTGCTGCAAGAAAATTGTAGCATGTCAAGAAAGACCAGATCACTAATTACAATGCAAAGAAAACAAAAACAAAAACAAAAGACCATAATAAAGTGACATCTGTTCTGTTGGTGACACGCTGATGTCATGCAGATTGAATATGACAATGAAAAAAAAAACATAAATGGTGATAGCTAAAGAAAAATCTAAACCAAACATATAGATTGGCATGCATTAAAGAAGCTGCTTCTTTATAAGAGATGTAAAATCAAGGAATCCTTTTTCTTCAGGAGTCTGATGGTTTGTCTTACAATCCCTTATTTAGTCTGGAAAATTAAAGTAATAAAAACATCATAGGAGTTTTTCATGCAGAATGAAGCAAGCTAAAAAGATGTAAGAAGATAGGTTTTCATAACTACTGGAAGTGCATTCTGGAAAAAGCTACAAAGATAACACTGAATTGGAAGATACTTTGGAGGATACATGCTGTCCATCAATCATTACCGTAAAATCTTTCATACATTCGTCCATGTGGAGAAGATTAAATAAAGCCCTTTCCTAAACATGTGGAAAGATGAAAATAATTAGGTATATTAAAACAACAATAACAACGACAAAACAAACAAACAAACAAAAAACCTCACAAGATTTGTTCTGATTTAATCAGCACTTCTTCATGCTCTGACTCCTGCTGCTAAGGACCAGGCACTGCTCAACTTCCCTAGTCTCTAAAGTGCCTGGAGAAGTAGAAGAAAAAAAGATGAGATATGTTTTTTGTTCTTATGTTCCCAGTGGTTTCAATTGGGCATACCTGTCCAAACCTGAGACCCTTTTTTTCCAACATTAAGAATTGTCCAGCTACACATTTAAGCAAGATTTACAGCAGCATAGTTAATCATAATAGAGAAACCTAAGGAGGCAGTTGACATTGTTTAAATAGACTGATCATAAATTCAAACATCTGTCTGGGGACACGTAGAGTTATAGATCCTATCTTCAGATGAACTTCTGCTATGTTAAATACATACCCATTTTCTACTGAAGGTTTTGATAAAAATCATAGGAGATTTTCGTATGTAATTTAGGTCTTTCCCCTCTGAGTTTTATGAGGTCACTGACTAACAGATACAATCATGTGCTTCAGTTTCCTCCAGCCTGCATTTTGCAAAAACAGAAGAACAGCAACAAAGGAAGCTCTTGTCCACTTCAGATTGATGATTTGAGTTTAAGCCTCCTGGAAGTGTTCTGAAAATGACTCAATAAGTTAAGAAATATTCAGCATTCTTTTCTGGGTGTATTCTAAATAAGACACACAAGTACCTTACAGAAACTAATTGTGAAGCTCTTTAAAGAATGGCATGATGTCAGATATTTGAATAT